GATTGGCTGTGCGCAGTGATACGAAAGGTCCCCCCTCCTGTCTTACCTCTTCTAACGTCTTGAAAATTATTCTGGAATAAAGTAGGGTATTGATTTCAAATGGATTAACTGTTCCCCTGATTAACGCCCTGTGTGAATACTTCAGAACAGCGTTTTTCAAATGCGGCCACCAGGGGCTTTTCTTGCGGCCACAGCCTTCTGGGTGGTTATTGGTGTGGGGGGGCAAAACAGTGGCCCCTCTCTGGAGACACAAAAGCTGGAGGAGCAGGCAGTTAATGAGTTTCCCACCTTCCCGAGGCGGTGGAGTTGGGCTTTAGCCCTGGGGTGGCAGGCCAGCCACGGGACTTTGGGCTCTGTTCCCCGAGCTCGCCACTCCTCCCATCACCTCTGGCCCCCACTGCCTCCCCTAGTGCCCCCTTGCCCCTGGCTCCCGCTGCCTCCGTACCCACCTCCCCATCCAGGGCTCAAATTGTCCCTGGGATTGCCAGGGCTGAGTAAGTCTGCTGTGAAGAGTGATATTTGTGTGTTTGTTAATATCACTTTTCACAGCAGACTTAGTCTTTAAAAAAAAGCCACCAAACAAGCAAAAGAAACAATAAGAAAAAAAGACAAGAACATGCAAAGCACCTTATTTGTGTTTCTGTTCCGTTTAGGTCCAGTAAAGAATAGAGACAACTGTACATTATTTTTATTATTGAGTCTGCAAAAAAACCCCAAATCCTACATAAATAAATTATGATGATTTGGACGTGTATATGTGCATATTCATTTGTTTTTGCTAAAGTTAATTAAGTATTTTAGGAAAAATTGTCAGAGCGGCAAAATTTGTTGTGAGAACCCCTGCAGAATGAGAGTAAGACTGCTGTATTCTGAATCAGAGCTTAATCCATTGCTGATTCAGATAGTATCAGCATATGGAGTCGATCAGAAATCACCTCTCATGTAGACAAGTCCTAAATAATCTGTCTTGATCTTCCCTCACTCGTATTTCTCAGGCTCCTGGCTGATTTGGGCACATGAGTTAGGCTGTGTCCTCTCTGCCATTCAGTTGCTAGAAAATTGAGTTCTTCTTCCTTCCAATTCTGTGCCATTCCATTAGGCACATTTTGATTCTCCTCTTCCCCTTCTGTGTGTTTCTAACCCAGTTAAGCCAACAGGAGGTCAGACTAGATGATCATGATGGTCCCTTCTGGCCTTATGAGATTATGAGAAGAGGGCTGATGCTTTTAAACTACTTTATGTGTGCAAGAGTGTTAATCACGCGTCTCTGGGGAGGAGAGGGAACATAGGGGATAAGCCATCTGGGGCTGGTTCTAGTTTGTTTTGATCTGTTCCTCCTCACCATAGTATCTGGGCACCTCCCATTACTGCATTAAGTGCCGTGACTAACCTCTCTCATGTGTGGTCTGTTCTTTCTCTCATCCTCTCCCTCGGGGGAGACCTGTGGATGCAGCGCCTTGTTTGTTCAAATGGCCAGCACTCAAAATTGGGGCCATATTTCCAGACATACTCCGCACCCAGCAGCTCCCATTGTAGTATCTAGGTGCTGAGCATTTCTGCAAATTTGGCCCTTATCTAAGTGGAAAGAGCCTGGTAAGTTAGGAATAGGTGGAAGGGGACTTTTCCTGCGTGAGGAGAGCTTTCTGCTTTGGTAGCCTGACACAAAGTGCAAGGGGTGGGGGGTGAGGTAATATCTTTTATTGGACCAACTTCTGTTGGTGAGAGACGAGTTTTCCAGCTTAGGCTATGGCTACACTACACCGCTCTTAGTGACACGGCTGTGCCGTTACAGGCTTGCCACTAAAAGCCGCGCAGCGTAGCTGCTATTTGTCAGCAGGAGAGAGAGCTCTCCTGCGGACAGAAAACTTCCGTCCCCCCCACAAGCGGCAGTGGCTTTGTCGGCAGGAGAGCGCTCCTGACGACAAAGAGCTGTTCCCACCTGCGCTTTTCGTCAGTAAAACTTGTATCGTGCGGGGGGGGGGGGGGGGTTAACACCCCTAAACGACAAAAGTTTTGCCGACAAAGTGCCAGTGTAGACACCCTTACACGGAGCTCTTCAGGTCAGGGAAAGGTACTCCGTGTCACAGCTGAATACAAGATGGAGCAGATTGTTTAGAGTAAGTGGTTAACATATATTTCAAGGGAACATTCAAGGTGAAGTGGCCTAACACCTCTCCAGAAGAAGCAGGGGGGCGGGGTAGTGGGTTTTAGAGATGGTTATAATGAGCCATAAATCCAGTGGCTATTCAGTCCATGATTTTTAGTATCTAGCAAAGTAATGAATTTAAGTGCCCAGGCTCATCTTTTCAGAGTTCTGTGCACGTTTCCTTTGAGGATGAGGACTGAGAGGTCAGATATGGAGTGATTGCTTTGTGGAAAGTGTTCACCCACAATTGATACAGTGTGTGTTTTATGTGATTTTTTTTTTTTTCGTGCGAGTTCATTCGAGAGCATAGTGATTCTCGGTTCACCCACCTAGTTGTTGGGGCATTTAGTGCACGGGAGGCGGTACACCACGTGTTGTGATAGGCATGTATGGGATCCAGGGATCTTGCAAGGGGTGTTATGACGATCAACACCCCTCACAACGGTGGAGATACGTCTACAGGTTTTGCATCTGTTGTTCTGGCAAGATCTGGTGCTGCTTTGAGTTGGTGTGCCCTAGTCTGTGGGGAGCTTGCTTCTGATGATCGTGGAGAGGTTGGGGTGTTGTTTTGAAGGCCAGAAGAGGGATTCAGGAGGGATTGTTTTTGTAGATGTGATTCCCATTGAGTATAGGGTTCCAGTGCGGGGTGGTAGGTGACAGATAGGGATGGGTAGTTGGAGTGAGTTTTTTATTTCTGTATTGAAGCAGGTTCAGGGCATTGGAGTGGCACATTGCAGAATGAACAGGAGTACTTGTGGCACCTTAGAGACTAACAAATTTATTAGAGCATAAGCTACAATCAACTCAGGATTGAATAAGGACTGGGAATGGCTGAGCCATTACAAACATTGAATCTATCTCCCCTTGTAAGTATTCTCACACTTCTTATCAAACTGTCTGTACTGAGCTATCTTGATTATCACTTCAAAAGTTTTTTTCTCTTACTTAATTGGCCTCTCAGAGTTGGTAAGACAACTCCCACCTGTTCATGCTCTCTGTATGTGTGTATATATATCTCCTCAATATATGTTCCACTCTATATGCATCCGAAGAAGTGGGCTGTAGCCCACGAAAGCTTATGCTCTAATAAATTTGTTAGTCTCTAAGGTGCCACAAGTACTCCTGTTCTTTTTGCGGATACAGACTAACACGGCTGCTACTCTGAAACCTGACATTGCAGAATGTGATCTACTTTTCTGGCGGAGTGTCCCTTGTTTGGTGTCTTTCTCTCACCAACAGAAGTTGGCTCAATAAAAGATATTCCCATACACCGTTTAACACCTTCAAGGTGGGTATCCTGGATTTCCCTCCCTATGACAGCAGAGGTGTAAATGGGTCACATCACCTTGAATGGTCTCTTGAAATAATGTGCTAACTACCTCTGCTAAATAATCTGTCCCACCTTGTATTTAGCTGTGACACTGAGTACACTGCCCAGACCTCTTGTCTCTCTCACCAACAGAAACTGGTCCAATAGAAGATATTACCTCACCCACCCTGTCTCGCTAATATTCTGGGACCAACATGGCTACAACAACTCTGCATACAAAGCCATAAATCCATCCCTCAAAAGCCGTCTACAAACAATCCAGCTGGAAGAGGTGAAGCCAGGATGCCCCGGGCAGGCTCAGCCCTCCAGCTGCCCCGATGAGTGGCCCAGATGTGTCTGCAATATATAAAGCAAGCTGAACTGGTTTAAGAGCCTTATCTCTGAAATCTGCAGGGTCCCACTGGCTGGACTGTTGCCACAATTTGTTGTTTTATCTGTTTCTCGTCAAGCTATTGAGAGCGAAAGCTAATTATGTTGCAGAACAGGTATTGCAAACAGCTTAACTCAGAAGCATTTAATGGTGCATCAAATCGACTGACGCCATCCAGTACAACTTGGAGGGATGCAGCAAAGGAAGTGGTTGGTGTGAGGGTACTGTGCTAATATCTCTGCTATGTAACTTAATTGTTAGAGCCTGGTGACTAATCCTTTGGCACCTCTTATTCAGGGCTTTCCAAGTACTTTACAAAAGTTAATTAACCCTGTGCTGGGAAGAAGATGGGTGTTGCTATCTGTGTTTACAGCACCATGGAGTCTGATTTCTGACGGGCTCCTATGTGCTCCCACAACACACACGATGAATATAATTACAAATGGGGAAGGTGATGCGCAAGGAGTCTGCTGCTTGCCCAAGGTGTGTCAGTGCACCAGGAGAGCTGGAAATAGATGCGCAGTCTCTTGCTCTAACCACTAGATGACACTGCCTCCACCGTATAGCTTATCAAGACAACTTAGGAGGCTGGCTTTTTGGATTCCACCACACAGGTTAAAGTGAGGAGTCCTTGTGGCACCTTAGAGACTAACCAATTTATTTGAGCATAAGCTTTCGTGGGCTAAAACCCACTTCATCAGATGCATCTGATTAAAGTGTGATCCTTCCTCAGAGGTTACATTGGTGTTGGCAAAACATGAAATTGAAGCAGATATGTTGTGATAAGACTGAAAACTGGGGGTAGGGAAGCTGTAAAGCTTCAGAAGATGGGATATCTGTTTGCACCTTTTTTTGCCACAATCTCATCAGTGTGATCACAAGAACTAGGGGTCACCAAATGAAATTACTAGGCGGCAGGTTTAAAACAAACAAAAGGAAGTATTTTTTTCACACAACGCACAGTCAATCTGTGGAACTCCTTGCCAATTGGATGTTGTGAAGGCCAAGACTATAACCGGGTTCAGAAAAGAACTAGATAAGTTAATGGAGGCTAGGTCCATCAATGGCTACTAGCCAGGATGGGCAGAGATGGTGTCCCTAGCCTCTGTTTGCAAGAAGCTGGGAATGGGCGACAGGGGATGGATCACTTGATGATTACCTGTTCTGTTGATTCCTCTTGGGGCACCTGGCATTGGCCAGTGTCAGAAGGCAGGGTTGAGTTTTTATTATGGTGAACTTCAAAAATCAGTCAAGTTCCCAGCATGGGGAGTGAATGAAAGTTACAGCTGTTTTAAGAGGATAACTTCCTCTGTGGTCTAGCAAAAGCTGAGACCATCTTCAGCCATTCTCTTGTGCACGCACACATCCAGGACCTAATGAATCCAAACGGCAGGCTTACATTTCTCTGCCTGCAGGGCACAAACGTACGAGAACTGGGTGGAACTGACCTGTCCTTTCAACTGATCTGTCTTGGTTTTTGAAGAACTGAATTAACGTCCCGTCTGATCACCAATTACTACTTACGCTGCGTGTTACCGCAACATCCGGGACACCATTGTGTTAGGCATGGTACAAACACAGAGCACAAAGGCTATTTCTGGCTAGAAATGTAACCTAGCCGTAAAGGAAGGACGGGGTGGCAGAAGTACCAGTTATCTTGGAGGGGAAATATCCCACCCACCCCTTGGCACAGGTTGAAAAATCTAGTGAGGCTGACTCAACCCTCCACCTTTCCAAGGTAAAGTAAGAGTCCATGCAAGCCATTTGGACCAGACCTTAAAAGCAGGGGTCCTCTCTGCCCTGCGTGGCCAAAGATCCTGGGTCACCCTTCCTGTGAAAGGGCCTTTGTCTAAAACCACCTCTGTTACTGGCTACCATTCCCCTCCCACCCCCCAGAGCTGGCCGCATTTCAGTAGCGCTATGCACACAGAGATCGGAACGTGCTCTGGGATGAGAGGTGCGACACAGGTGAAACATTCTCACTTCCCGAGTGTTTTCGAATGGTCTCTCCGGGCCAGCTATAGGTCTCCTGAGCCAGAGTGGGTGCTATTCCTTATCCAGACACAAGCTGCCTTGTGGGAACACGGCCTCTGTATCCGTGCTGGGCAGGGACGCTCAGACCCGAGGGGGAGGGCTGAGCATGGCCGCTAGGAGAGCCTCTCTGAGGACTCGTCTTCCCGTACCGCGCTAGAGCGGTGCAGCTGTAGCGCTTTAGTGAAGCCGTTTGTCCGCCGGCGGGAGAGCGTCTGTTGGCGCAGTTAATCCGTCTCCCTGAGAGATGGTAGCAGCTCTCCCGTCGCCATGGCGCTGCCCACACGGGGGGGTTAGGTCGGTATAACAACGTCACGGGGGGTGTTTATTTTTCACACCCCTGAGTGAGGTGTTGATGCCGACGTAGGTCTGTAGCGTAGAGCTGGCCGGCGTTGTAGCCTTTCCGATGCAGGACTCTGGTGATGGTGGGGGAACTCCCTTTGCAGGAAATGAGCACCTTTGTTAGCTCAGTCTGATGGCCTCTGTCTGTAACACGGTAACTTCTGAACGTGGCGTCTGATCAATTGCACATGGTTCTAGGCATCCATGGGTGGAACCGTATTGTTTTGTGGGGAAACGGGGGCTGTACAGAGCCTTTGTCAACCCTTGCTGTGTCCCTGCCCAGCACGGAGGCCACAGCTTCAAGCACCTCTGCAAACAGGCTGTAGATCAAAGAACTGGTTGATCATGGCACCCATTACCGCCTTTCAGTCCAACACCACCCTATCTCAGCTCTGCCTGTCCTCCCAATGGTTTAGCATGTTGGCACCCTGAATGACTAATCTCCCAGCCAGAAGAGAAGTAACAATGGTGGGGGAAGCGGATGGGCATGTGGAGGTGGGGAATGGAGGACCCTGGCATGGGGAGGAAGCAGAAGAAGGGTGCACACAGCTGTGAGACTGAGCAGGGGGAAAATGGGGTATCTTGGTGTGGAGGGTAAGAAGGAATGGGGCGGGGGGGCATCCCCTCCAACTGAACATGTGAGCCTGTAACTAGTCCAGGCACCTTTAGCTTTGTGTCAGATCTGCTTCGTCTAACTGAGGGTCTGTTTGTTTTCATCTGGACAGATGCTTCCCTCTGGGCTCTGGCTGTAGGATGTTGGAGAATCAAGAGCAAGAAGTAAGGCTCTCCCGCGTTTCTGCCGTTTTCTGTTCTGTGTTTGTGGGGGCTGGCAGGTTGGGGGAACGTATGGAGCCTTTGAATTCAGGCAAAGATGGAACCATAGTGGTGAGCGAGTTAGTGCTAGCAAAGCTGGAGCTTCACATAGGGGGAAGAGGTGGGGAACCCTTAGCTGGTACCCAGGGGGATAATGTGAAGGGTTTTACAGGGTCAGGTGGGGGGATTAGTAGGGGTGATGAGGGCAGGAGCTGTCTGCCTAGCATGGCTGCAGCAGCAGCGTGGGCCTTTAAGGGTAGGATGGGGTGGGAGGATTATAGTTTGGGGAATCACCAGGTAGAATGAACCTCAGAGTATGGCTGGGACACTCCCCCTTCAAAGTCTGGTGCTTCTGAGATCAGTACCCAGCTTCTCAAAGGCAGCACCGCTTGCCTGTTCCTGCCACTTGCAGACCTTGCCACCAGCTGCTCTCTGCTGTGGGTTACAGCTGGGTGACGGGAAGTCAGGACTAGGCCGGTTAGGATGGGGCTGCTGTGAACATCTCCTTGGAGTTAGGCAACATTTCTCTGCCCTCAGGAACTGACCACGGTGCGTGTTCAGGACCCTCGGCTCCAGAACGAAGGCTCCTGGAATTCCTATGTGGATTATAAAATCTTCCTCCATGTAAGTGCAGAGCGGCTCCGGGGGACGGCAGGAATGGAGCTGAGTCTGACACCGCATTGTGCTGTCGCCTCTCCCCAGTGAAAAGTGGGTGTAAAACGCTACCTCCCCATCTGGCATCACTTGGCAGCGGGTTGAGATGGTGCAGGGTGCTGGACAATTTGAGACCTAGGGTCTTGCAAGAGGCTGCACCACAGCATGGTCCACTCTGCCCCCCGGCAGGATTCTGCTGTGTAGAGCTTGCTTAGCCCTGTATGGTTATCAGTGCTTTAACTAGTTGATCTTTCCATCATCTCTCACTCGCCCTTCTCTGCAAGCACCTATCTAGATCAGTGGTTCTCAACCAGGGGTGGCCACGAGCAGAGCCAGCATTAGACTCGCTGGAGCCCAGGGCAGAAAGCCAAAGCCCCGCAGCATGGAGCTGAAGCCCAGGGCCCTGAACCCTGCCGACCGGGGCTGAAACTAAAGCCTGAACAACTTAGCTTCACAGGGGCCCCTGTGGTGTGGGGCTCCGGGTAAATGCCCTGCTTGCTACCCCCTGACACCGTCCCTGGCTTTTATATGCAGAAAACCGGTTGTGGCACAGCTGGGCTGTGGAGTTTTTATAGCAGGTTGGGGGGGGGGAGGGGAGCATGAGGGGGAGCTCACAAAAGAAGAGGCGGAGAACCCCGATCTAGGGAATTAAATGATCCCTAGCCCCTTGGTGTCAGAGCAAGTTCCAGCAGCGAGTTGGGGGCATGATTAGAGCAGTTCCAGGCCCTCAGCTGCATGTTCAGGCCATGAAACCATGCCGCACCCCCCCTCGTTTGCACGTAAAGTCCTGACATCAAAAGATTGGCTTGGGCCCTCCGCTTGCAACTTAATACCATGTTCTGGTTCAGATCAGAACGTTCCCCTGGGAGCACAGGACAGCAGCTGCCATTGAAGGGAGATCTGTGCCCCCCTACAGGGAGCCACCTCTGACCTTTCCCGTCCTCCCGCGTCTCGTTTCACAGACCAGCAGCAAGGCCTTTACTGCCAAGACCTCGTGCGTGCGCAGACGGTACCGCGAGTTCGTGTGGCTGAGGAAGCAGCTCCAGAAAAACGCTGGCTTAGTGTGAGTGTGAAATTCCTCCTCCGCCTCCCTGATGCCAGACGCCAACTGCCCCTTAGCACAGAGGTGCTGGGTGTCCTGACCCTCCGTAGGATAAGGCATTATAGACAGGAGAGAGCAGGGGCAATAGAAACTGGCCCAAAGGGCTGGCTGCACCCACAGATTCCAAGTCAGGTGAGCTGGGTTCATGGAATCAGAGAATATCAGGGTTGGAAGGGACCTCAGAAGGTCATCTAGTCCAACCCCCTGCTCACAGCAGGACCAATTCCCAACTAAATCATCCCAGCCAGGGCTTTGTCAAGCCGGGCCTTAAAAGCCTCTAAGGAAGGAGATTCCACCACCTCCCTAGGCAACCCATTCCAGTGCTTCACCACCCTCCTAGTGAAATAGTGTTTCCTAATATCCTAATTCTAGTAAATGTGACTGGGGGTCAGTCACGTGGAGTGAGCGAGTGCCCAGCACCAAAGTAAAGGCCAAAGTGTTCGCCTCCCTGGGCAATCTCTTGCTTGCAGAGGACGGAGGGGCGTCTAACGCTCTAGCTATGCAAGTGCTGGCTGTTCCCGGGCCCAGGATCTCTACGATCGCCCCAGCTTGGCGGTGGGTGAAAACGCGCTCTTGCTGTTTGCACGAGGCCCGACTTCTCCCACCAGGTCCGTCGCACGTCACCTCGTTCCGTCTGTGGATACCGAGCCGGTTCCTTCCTCTGCTCTGTTCCCTCAGGCCTGTCCCGGAGCTGCCAGGGAAATCCACCTTCTTCGCAGGCAGCACCGATGAGTTCATTGAGAAACGGAGACAAGGGCTCCAGCAGTTCCTGGAGAAGTGAGTGGAAGGGATGCAGCTCCCTCACGCGGCTGCCTTGGTGGCTGAAATAGGTTTGGGGGGCAGCAGGGGCTGTTTCACCTCAAAGCCCTGCTTCCTAGCAGGAAAGAAGGCTGCCTAATGGCTCCATTCCCCCAGGCTTGAGAGTGGTGGTTGTCTAGAGTCAGAGAAGAGAGTTCCTGCTAAGGAGCCTGAGCTGGGAGGGGGTAATGGTGGGTTTTTTTTTTGGGGGGGGGGGGGGGGGCATGAAAATGCTCACTACCATCTTCAGCAGGATCCTCCCCTGCCCTTGCTGTCTACCAGCCCCTGTGGCTGGTACGCAGGCCTGGGGGGCTATACCGCATTCTGCATTGTCCCCTCGCTTCCTGTCTCTCTCCAGGGTCGTGCAGAACGTGGTCCTCCTGTCAGACAGCCAGTTGCATCTCTTCCTGCAGAGCCAGCTGTCGGTGCCCGAGATCGAGGCGTGCGTGCAGGGCCAGAGCCCCCTGACCGTCACGGACGCCATCCTCCGCTACGCCATGTCGAACTGCGGCTGGGTGCAGGAAGAAGACGCCCGCCCTGCGCTCGTGGCGGGGGCAGAGCTCTACAGCAGGTATTGGGAGCAATCTGAGGGACTCGTGGGTTGGATGGAGTGAGACCAATAGCTGGAACTAGGCTAGGAACCAAGCCCCCTTCCATGCTTGGAGCTGATCTGTGCTAGCGAGACCAGAGCTGGAAAATGGTTGGAACCTGGCTGTGGTCTCTCCAGAGGGCCCGTAACATGGCTACGGGCCTTCCCACAACTTAGCCACTGCATCAGCTGTTGTGGCCATGTGGGGTCTAATGTGCTTGGTCCGATCCTCCCAAAGAACACACCACATCCAAATAGGGACGTGGCTTTAATTCACACGATCCCCAGCCCCCATCTGCTCCTGAGCACCCTAGGACTCGTCACGGCCATAGGCGCCGACTCCGTGGGTGTTCTGGGGCAGGAGCTCAGCACCCACCGGCAGCTCCTCACCCTCCCGTCCAGCTCACCTCCACCTCTGCTTCCTTCCCTGAGTTCGTCACGTGCCCGCTTTTTCCCCCTAGCTCCCAGCGCTTGGGCCGTGAAACAGCTGTTTCACGCGGCTGGGGAGGAGGGGGGAACACGGCGCACTTGGGGAAGAGGCAGGGCTGGGGTGGGGATTTGGGGAAGGGGTCCAATAGGGGCAGGGAGGGAGCGGAGTTGGGGCGGGGACTTTGGGGAAGGGGTTGGAATGGGGGCAGGGGAGGGGAAAGGGTGGAGTTGGGGCGGTGGGGGGCGCAAGCACCCACCGGCGCCGGGGAAAGTTGGCGCCTATGGTCACGGCCTGCTTGGAGGATTTCTCCACGTCGTGCGCCATCTGCCCGGAAGGAGCAGTCCAGAGTCCCATCGCTGCTCTGTGCTCACCAGGGGCCTCCGGCGCATCCTTTCATCAGTAGCAAAGGTGTCGTGCTCTGGAGCGATGGGGGCTGCATGTTCCGAAGGGCTCAGCTCCCCTTTGGGCACCAAAACAAGCATATGGTTCCTTCCTGATGCTCCCCCTGTTCGGAGCTGTCTGTTGAATGCGGAGCCCCCACCTGACTCATCTAAAACCCACTTCCCTTGGCCTCTCCTCTAGGGGGAGCAGTTGGGTCGGGGCGCTAGACCTCACACTGCAGGCACCTACTGTAGAATCTCTCTAAGCCTCCGGTGTGATGTGGGGGGAGCCACCCCCACCCCCTCAACTCTGAGCAACCTTTTCATGGAGAAGCGCTGTGGTGCAGCCTCTTGCAAGACCTCCGGGCACCTGTCCCCAGGGGACATCGGTGCTGAGAATACTTTGTATTCCGCTGCCTTCCGAGCCCACGGCTCCTATGCACCAGCAGCCCTGCAAAATCCTGGTTGCTTGAGGAGTGGAGGCGCGCTTCTCACCCTGGCCAACGGGAGGGGAGGTGAATGGAGCCATGACAGGATTGTCGTCCTAGGCTGCTAGGCAAATGAACCCAGCTGAAGATCATGCCCCGCCGCAGCGTCTCGCTCTTGGTTTTAAGTAGCAGGAGAAGAGGCGTGGGTGGGCCCCAGCACGAGACCCGCGTTAAGAAAGCCCCTCTGGTTTAAGGAAGGGTTTGGAATGGGCGCAGGGAGCCGGGCTGAGGGGTAGGTATCCGGGCGGCTCGGCAGGCTAGACGCTTCGCTGGCTCAGCTGTCAATGCTCTAAGCCCCTCCCATGCGACTCCTGTCCTGGCCGCACTGAGGGATTCTCCCATCTCTTCCCCCTCCCCTTCCCCTCTTCGCTGCGTGTGGTGGGTGGGGTGCCTGGAAGCGGAGTGGTGGTGCTGGAGGAGGGGAGCAGCTGGCTGGCTGAGCAGGCCCCACCTGCACTGCTCCTTGAGCCAGCTGCGGAAGAGGCCCCTGTGGAAGCACGGAGAAGAGGCTGCAGGCAGATGGGGGCAGGTGGCTGAAAGGAAGCTGCCCGCTGCTCTCTCCCCGCTCCACGGGAGCACTTGTGCAGAGGTGGATCTGGAGTTAGGGCAACTTTCCCAGCCCCCCGCTGCTCCTCCCAGGATTGCTGGGGTCGGGCGCCAGGCTTTAGAGCGCTCAGGTCCTAGCGCTGCCGGCAGCTTGGCCCCAGCACTCACAGGAACCAGGTGCTCGCGCAACTCCTCTGTCAGTGGCTCACTGCTCCAGGCCGTTACGCGTGGCAGGATGCGCGTGTAGCTCGGGAGAGCTGGGGCTGCGCATCTTGCCTGGAACCCCTCTTCCTTCCTGACTCTCCTGTGCCTTCTCTCCGTAGCTGTGCTGGTCTCGGAAGCCCCCCTGTTCGGAGCTGTCTGAAACCCCCTTCGGGCTGGAGCGACTTCGGCATGGAAGACAACCACTCGGATAGCCTGGATTCTCCTACGGAGCAGCCGGAGACGAAGTAAGCAGCACAAACGATCGTGTGCACCCTGTCTGGGAGCAGCGGCTCTTGCTCTGCGGAGAGCCGAGGATGGCAGCTGAGTGGCTCCCGTTGGTGCAGGATTGGGACCCTGCATGGCACGTGGGCCTCATCCTCAGCCCCTCTACTCCCAGCTTGTGACCACTTCATGCTGCCTCTGGACGGTCCTCTTATGAGGCAGGTGCTGGGTGAATACACAACTGAGCTGTACGAAAAGGGAACCAGTGCTTAGTAGAACCTAAGTTTGTTACTCCCCAGGGCTGTGTCATGCTCTTGTGGGGGGAACGGTGTGTATTAGGGATGGGGGCTGCTTGAAAACAAAAGCCAGCTCCCTTGATCTTGGCTTGATTCTCTGTCCCCTTGGAGCTGGGTCATGGAGGCAGATGCTCATCGCTGCAGAGATCCTCCAGGAGAGATGTTGTCTGGATCCCTAGGCCGAGCTGCCGTCCCTCCTTGCCCAGTGGATTCTCGTTCCTAGAACTAGAATTCAGTCTTCGTAGCATTCCCCTCTGAAAAACCAACGGCCGCGTAGGCACGAGCGGCGCTGCTTTGCACGGCTGAGAGCCACATTTAAACAGCGGCTGTGGGGCGGCCTCCCCTCAGCTGTGCTGAGCCGGAAGCCCACACGCTGGGTATGGATACCACCTCCACACCTCGGTCCTCCAGGCCGAGCTCGGCCTGTTCTCCGTGCAGCTGGACTGAGCCAATGAGCTTTCCGTGGGGGCTCTATATTGCAGGGTTGATTCCTCCATTGCGGCGGGGCTGGGGGAATGTGTGGTGGTGGGACAGTGAGGTCAGAAGGTTGGTTGTGCTCCCCTTTTGTGTGGGACACCCCTCAAGCTGGGCTTCCCTGCAGGAGAACAAACCCTTTGGCTAGCCCAGACCTGCCTGAGCCTAACAGCCAACTGGCGCTGAAGAGGGCAAAGGGGAAGGGCACAGGGTGGTGATCCCTATAGCCAGCCATGAGGGAGCAGAACCGAAGAAAGAATGGGCAATCCCACGCTGCAGCTACCACCAGGGCCTCTCTGCTTTCAGCCCGTCGGGTCCATTTACTCTGCTGCTCCCCTGTGCCTTTCCACCAGCCCATCCTCTGGCATTGGCTTGGCTCAGAAGGCAGAGCTGAGGTGCTCTGGCCTGCAATAAATGTGAAGTGCATGAGACGCTGGGTGCTGGTGATTTATGGCTGGCGGGGCGGGGAAGACCCAGGTGGAGCAGGGAAGGCTAATCACAAACTGATCATGTTGGGGGGGAAAAAAATAATGGGGCTGATGCATCTTAAGCAATAGGCTTGGGGCTGGCTAAGATGCCACCAGCGACCATCCCTGCGTTGGTTGCATTGGGCACTAGATCGTGACAGCTGATGAATGTCCAGCTGCAGCTGTGTGTGGGGGGGGGGGGGGCGAAAGGGCTTTTCCCTCCAGCCCGGGCTCCCCAAATAATACGTCACTGCTAGGAATCCTGAGTGAAAGATGCCCCTGACCAAGGGCCTCAGTATTATCCTCCGTCTCCACAGGGTCTGACAGTTTCCCCTACCCGGGGAGAGAACCTGCTTCTCTCTGGCTCTGTGGGACTTGGGCAGTAGACCCAGCGCTAGCCGGCTTTAGTACTGCTGAAAGGCGATGGAGCGGTGTGGGGGGGAGCAGAGGGGCTTGGTTTCTGGGGTGCATGCATGTGGCTTTGGGGTGGGAGGGACATACTGATCCTGCCAGCCCCTCTCCATCTACCGCTGCAGAGCAGCCCTTGCTCCTCCCCTCAGCCCAGATATGTCCTTTCTGGTGCTCCTTCCTTGGGCAGGGGGCTGACGACCAGCAGGGGCCATAGAGAACAGCGGAGCAGCTACCTGCTCAGCTGGCACCCGGTGGTGGCCAAGCTCTGCGGTAGCCCAACTCTCCCCTCTGTGGCCAGAGCTCAGCAGGGGCGTGTGACCCACGGGCTGGGGAAGGTGAGGGCCACCCTGCAGGCAGGAACGCAGCCCATGCTGCTTAGCAAGGTGGGAGTCCGTTTTCCTCGGGGTGCCTGCCGTATTCGTCAGACCACGCTAGCAGAGCCGGCTGTGACCGGGTTGGTAGATTACGCCATACCTTGCTCAGTTTCATGGACTGTCACGATTTGGCGGTCGCAGGGCCTGGCTGTGAAAATCAAGTTGGGTGTCGGTCGATTTCCCCAGGTGCTTGTGATGAGGTTCTCTTCCCCCCCCCCCCCTTCACATGGGGGTGTTCTCTCCCCCGTGCGATGGGGGGGGGGGGGGAATGAAGCCTACAGAGGAAAATCTAAAATGTCAAAAGAAGTTCATTTAAAAAACCCGACAGCTGCTCGCTAATGGTAGCTGCTCTGCCGATTGGTTGGGGCTGCCTCATGAATATTCATGAGAGCACCGCTCCAAATGGTGCAGCTGTGAGGCCAGCTGTGCCGGCAGCGCTGATCTAGAAACTTCCAGCCAGGAGCGGGTGGGGTCGGCGATGCAGCCAAAATGCCAGGCAGGGGCTGTCCCTGCTCTCCCCCCTCAGCGGAGGCTTGACCCGCAGGGACAGCGGAACGCAGGGCAGACACGCACCTAGAGGCATGTGGGCTGCACCCAGGGGTGAGCCGGGCCCCCATTAGGCTGAGCAGCGTTGGTGCTGAAGCCAGGCTCGCAGAATCACAGCAGGCGGCAGGCTCTGGCACGGGCTGCCCTGCTCGGAGACCTCTGCCAGAGCACAGTCTGCCCTGGGGTTTTCCCTTCAACACCGGCTTGGACGCAGCAGCTCTCACTCCTCTCCGCGACAACCGTGCTTACCAAGCTTGCTGGGTAAACATACTGCAGTGCAATCTCCTAAACGCCTTCCTGGGGCAGTTCCCCTCCCTGCTAGCATGTGGTCACTGAAAGGCCGTTCCCCACTCTCCTCTTGCTGTATGTCACATTCTGGGGCTGCAGCTCAGAGCACCAGCTCCACCTACCTCCTGGCACAAACCCAGGCCACTGCTGGCTGAACCTCTACGAAATGACCACGGGGAAAGGCACCTGAGCAAGCTCTCTGGTGTGTCGGTCCTGGCTGCTGCTGAAACAGTGCCTACCCCCAGCGCTGGCTGCATCTCAGGGGCAGGCAACATTATTTCTAGAGGTGCTGCAAACGTATCAACCCCGACCCAAAATCTACTCACTTTTCCAAGGAGGGTGGGAACAAAATCCCGCTACTGTCGGCTGGGCCTGACCAAACCAGAACTGACTCAGGCGGAGGGGAGTTGTCAGATTAACTTGAGAGCACATGGGCTTCACAGCGATGAAAGCTCCTGGGGGGTTAAAGGGGGGCATTACAACACAGATCTTTTCCAGAGCAGCAGCTGGGCTCCGGCACTGCTCCAGAAGGCTGCTTACGACGCTGCTAGGCTAGGAGACGCCGCTCTGATCACAGGGAGGTGCAGGTTCTGTTCCCTTTCACCGGGGAGGGGCTTGTAGAGGCATTGAACGCTGGTTAGCAGAACCACCGGGAACCCCCAGCTTCCACTCTGGGCGGTGGGTGCTCAGCGCCTTTGAAAGTCAGGGCGTTAGCTGTGCAGGAAATGGGGAACAAGCCCTTCCCTCCTCCGTAACCGCTCTTTGCTGCTGGCTGCGCTTCTGCGGGAGGATCATTTAGACCCTGACTCTCAGCCCTCTGTTCCACTCTTGGCCCGAGTGTGTCTCTTTAATAGGGAAAGTAATTTTGCTGCTGCCAGTGGCATGGACGCTGGGGTGGGTAAAAGCACGGCCTGTGCCCGCCACAGACCCAGTAAGCGAAGGGCTGCCGGGGCAGCTGTGGATTCATGTGGAACCAGCCAGCTGAGAGGGGGCTGCAGGCAGGCGCTGTGCTGGGAGCGAACTGCTTCCGTCCAGCAGCCGGCAGGCCTGGATCCCGAGCCCTAGTCCCTGCTTGCTGCCTGCCACCGAGCTGAGGGCAGGTATGTGACGGGCACGCAGAGCAGCTCAAGGTAACCTTTCTCTTGCCATGTGGCTGAGGCCTTCTCGAGATGACTCCCCCAAAGCCTGGCATCAACCCAGCCTCTGCCTGGAAGCCATCCAAGCGCTGGAAGCCATCCAGGCTCATCCTTTCCAGCTCCCCGAAGGAGGCCTGGCTGTCTCTCAAGTCTGTGCAAACAAATTGTAGCACATGTACCACCCAGCCAGCTCAAATTGAGAGAGGGAGGAGCCCCCCAACCCCTGGCACTGACAGATCAGAATTACAGGCTGGAGCCAGCTACCTCCACCAGACTAAGCCACCTGCCTCCTCCGGTGCTGGCGTTTAACCTGCCGACTGGGAAGCTGCTGCTGCCTAAACCCAAACCCTGGCTGTACAGAGGACTCCCCAGCCCCAGGACTGAGCGCTGAGAACGTTGCCGGCTCCCGTCCCGCCCGCTGCTGGCGATGGAGGGAGCAGGGCCTCCTGCCCCCCCGTGTCCAGACACCTGGAGCGCGCAGCTGATAAAGTCCCCTTTCCCCCAACAAAGGTCTTCTGCTGAGAGGGTAAGATAACAGAAGGGGGGTCTCTATCCCTGCTCTCCAGCCTGGGGGAAGCGCCCAGCTTTCAGGGCCAGCCCCTGCCACTCAGAGCCCACCCTTCACCTTGGGCAGGGCTGGAGTTAGGCCTCATGCTGCCACCAGCTGATTAGCAGATGTGTCACTGCTGGAATCAGAACTGCTGCATGCCAAAGGCCCTCTACTGCTAACGAAGATTGTCCTAGTACCCAAGAGGTGGCTGTGCTGATGGAGCAGGAATTGGAGAGTGCTGTCCTTGCTGGCCCTAGGAAGAGACAAATAGGCCTACCATAGGGACGGCTATGGATTTGTAAGCATCCTCCACTCTCCCCTGAGGCTCTCCGAGAGCTTTATTGGGGCAGCCTAAGGGCTTTACACCCCTTGGCCAGACAGACAAACTGTGGCACGAGAAGGGAAGGGACATGGGGTGATGGCAACAAACCCCAGGAATCCTGTTTTCCCATGCCCCTATTCTGTCTGCCATGTATCGCTACTCTCATTTTCCTGTCTCTCCCCTGCACCCCACCCCACTCCCAGGCTGCAGTGAGAGCAGGATCAGGCCCTCAGTACAGTAGCTGGTGCTCTGTGGGGCAGGTGCCATGTCAGATAACCCCACTGCAGGGGATGGAGGGAGCGATAGTCACTCCTGCTCAACCCACAAGCCCAGCGCTGCCCCTGTGTTTGCTTTGATCAGTGAAAGCGTTAACAGAAATGTAAAGGCGTTGCCATTAGGCTTCAGAGTCAACACCCCACTGAGCTGAATGAGGCCGTGCACACCTGCCTCAGAGTGACTGTTGTGGGCTGCCTGCAGACCCAGGCAGATGTCTCCTCAGCCTCCAGGGCCTGAGATGGGGGTGGGTGTTTTTTCAAAGGAAACCAGCTACCGAGCCAAGCATCAGCTCACGAGCAGGCCCGATTCCCCCACCCCCTGCACCCCTCACAGCCGCTGGGGCCCTGCAGCGCTGCAGCCTCCCCCTTAGAGCATCACGCGGCCTCCTGCCAGCGGGGCGAGAGGCCAGCACTGCAGCAGAATCGCTGCACCCTGCTGCATGCCAGGAGGCTCAAATGTGTCTACCAATTACAGGACAGCTGTTCAACTGGCTGAAGGAGGGGTGGGGGGGGACTTGTCTCTTTAAGAGCCCTCCCAGTGAGTGATGAGGGCTGGGAGATGCAGGCAGTCAGGCCCTGATTAAACACTCATTGTGCAGAGCACGCTTAGAAAATTACTGTAATTACAATCCGGTCCCAGCAGAGGGACGAGCTCCAATCCTGGTAATAACCCGGCCAGGTGCCTCTATCCCCAACCCACAGCAACCAGCTCCCTGGCCTCCTTCAGCTGCTAAAAGATGGAAGAAAGCTGCCATTGTATCTGACCTAGGCAGGGCTGGACTGGGCTCTGCCTCCTGGGCGTGGCGCTTTGCTGCACTGGGGCTCTCTGCCCAGACAACAAACCCCCGACTCCAAATTCAGGTGCAGCCACGGATTCATCCTCCAGCGCCCCCTCCAGTGAGCGACTCGCTCTTTGCCTTGCAGCCGGCCGGGTTTGTACCACCAGCCAGCCGGCGCCTTAACGCCAACCCTTCCAATCACGCTAACCACTTGGGTGCTGCTCCATCTTACCAGGAGCAGGAGGGGGCGTGGCAGGGGCGTTCCCACGCCC